GGCTAAATATAGAAATTACAGTACCTCCATTCCTTCCTCTCCCTTCCCAAACATGCTGCAGGAGAGGGGGCAACTGCAGGGGTTAAAGCATGGATTGCAAGGTTGATGTATAATTTGCATGTTATATATGTACCTGGTAATATGGAGAAATGAGCTAGTAAATATATCCTTGCATATTCTTAGTTGCTGATTAAATGTTCAAAGATACACAGTGTGAAGCATGAAAAACAAATGGAAGATACCCACTGCAAGAAATTTTCAACAAATATATATGGATTTGTTCACTTCATTTCTTACTTTCGACACAAGTAATTATAGTAATTATAATTACAAACACAATGTACTGTCATTTAAAGACTTTATATGTGCTCCATGTATATATGTTAATGTAATATAATATAAAAAATGTGTTTATTGTTAAAATATGTGATATATAATACCGTAAACCTCTGACTATAAGCCCTGGGCAGGCTGGGCTTATATTGTTTTGAAGCGATTTTTCATGGGCTTAGGGGGGGGGGGCTTATATGCATGGGGGCCTTATACATGGACAATCAATTGTGTTAGTAATAAACAAGTCAGTCACTCATAAACAAGAAAATAAACATGTATTAATAACACACTTCCATTATTATAAACATAGTAAGCTATAAAGACAATGACAGTGTTTCAAATATCGTTCTCTGCTATATTTACAAGACAATGTCAATGTTAAATAATATAGTGGGATACCGGGCTTATATTCAGGTAGCTAATATTCAGGGGACTTATATTCAGGGGGGGCTTATATTTGGGGGGGGGGGCTTATATTTGGAATGAGGTGAGCATTATATTCAGAGGTTTACAGTATACAGTTGAAAAAAGCTTGTATTTTCTTGTCATAGACACACATTTCTGGGTGCATATAGAACAGCTTATATAGACGACCGGCCAACATTCTGAAATGTACACTCTGATGGCATTTTTTGTTACAAGCTGTCAACTGGTGTTTTCATATACCTTGCACATTGGTGAACAAGTCTATATATGTTGGCACCTCTGATTTTGGCTTTATAGTTGAAAATTTCAGAATTTTAAAATTTTGCCTAATAAAGTACTATATATGTTGACTAAAAATACAATATTTCAAGTTCATTTTTCACAAAAATAATCTATACCATTAGAAAGATCGCAGAAAAGTATATATAAGCCATTTAAGCGAGTAGTGCGAATTTTCAAGCAAGTTTTGAGTTAAAGGGGCTTAAAGTTGGCAAAATAGTAACTATCGGCATCAATTGGCGTGTTTTTTTTCATTTTCCAGTGTTAAAAGCACAAAATTGGCTACAAAAATCATACTACTCGCTTAAATGTCTTATATATACTTTTTTGCGAACTTTCTAATGGTATAATTTATTTTTGTTAAATATGAACTTGTAATTTTGCATTTTTCTGATCATAGTACTTTTTATAGACAAAATTTTCAAATTAACAAATTTTCATCTATAAAGCCAATATTAGAGTTGCCAACAAGTCTAGTCTTGTTCGTTAATGCATATACTCTATGAAAATGTCAGTTGGCAGCTTGTAACAGAAAATGCCATCAAACAAATTTTGTTGCACATTTTCCGGTTTTGGCCGGTGTCACAGTGATATGAGTATCCCCGTGTTTTGTGTATCCCCTACTAATATCACTAGGGATATGTGTATCCCCATGCTCACCTCACTAGGGATATGTGTATCCCCGGCAATATGGCGGTCGTGTTTTGCGTATCCCTAAAGAACCACCCTACATTCCCACATCACTAGGGATACAAGCAGCCTAGTCCCAGGCTCTCTCTCTATTCGCTGCTTTGATATATTTAAATAAGTCTTAAAAGTTTTATGCCTGGGTGTGCTGTGCGGAACGCTTCAGCGAGAGAGCCTAGCAGATTTCGGTAAAATGGTCCCTGATTTCAAAAAAGTGGTCCCTGGCCTGGTTACCAAGCATACCTCATTTGTAAATGGAGAATGTTATGGAAATTTCCTTTGCATTATAATGAAGTCATTAGTTTTGCTCTAATGCTGTCGGAACAATGAAGTAGGCTACGTTTCGCGGCCATACGGTCAGAATGGAATAACGGGCTAAATATGACTCGTGTTTACTAAAATATATATCCATATTAAATGCTATCTAGAAGCTTGAAAATTATGCCGAGTCTCCGACTAAGAATGTTTTGACAACACCGTCATGTCAGGCAAATATTTCCAATCTCATCAGCAATTTAAACCTGTCAAGGAGAAAGCGTAGTTGTGTATACCAGTATGGTCTAGTGTTGATCACAACTTGCGAGTACATAAATAACATCAACGATTGCTCAAACTCGGTATCGTAAATTTGTATATAATCAGTTTTTTGTTGAGCACATTTTTAATACAGTTTGATTTGGTTATGTAGACATCGAACATGTACATGATGAACGAACATTGTCGTATTTATAATTAAAAGGTTACTTGTATATATAAATTTTCCGCCATAATAAAAATACTGAAATCTGCTAGGCGTTCTGAAGCACCTTGAGCGGTGACGTCACACCTAGGTCCCAGTCTCGTACTACATCCACTTTTTTTCTCGTGCTTGCTTCAGAACGACTGGGACTAGGCTGGGATACAAGTATCCCTAACATATCGCGGGAAATAAAACATGCAGAACTGCACATACAAGCTTGAAAATAACACTCTAAATAGTGTGTTGGATTGTGTTTTGAACAAGACTAATACCAAAAAGATATGTTGAAAGGGGCCGAAGTTATATTCGGCGAAAGGTATGGCTTAGTGATGCATTGTTTACATTCTTCGAGTTTATTGTATATAGTATGGTATGGTTAGTTTACATTGTTCAAGTATGCCTAGTTTATAATTTATGGCTATTTTACATTGTTCGATTTCATAGAACTTTTCAAGCGGATTTTTTTGGTGGTGCTTTCGTATTTCTACTGCAAATACTCGCAGAGTTCTGTAATATTTAAACTTCCTGTCATATACGTCGGAAATCAAGTAATACGGAGCCATATGAGTTTATGTTAAGAGTAATTCTACACTATGTTCTACACCAATTTATGCGACGCGAACATGCTATCTTATACAACATAAGCACAATCACATTATACACATTTACTGCAGCATTTAATAACTGTAAAAACGCAAATACTTAATACCAGAAAATAAAGGCACAGATAAATGACTTTCCTCCTGCTCATATTTTGAATATTGCATCCTTTCCTCCTAGTGTTGTAGGTATCCCCACCGGGGGTACTTTTATCCCTAGGGATATTAGTGTGGGGATACACAAAACACGGGGATACTCATATAACTGTGACACCGGCCGTCTAATACATCAGGTTCTCATGTCGATCCAATGGTAATTTGATATCACTATATTCTGATGAGAATCTTTGCTTAAAACAATATCGATTGTGAGCGTGTGCCCGCGCGAATTTAGTAAGCGGAATAAACAAAAGCAATGAAAGCGCATGCGCCATTTATCTCATTTTGGATAAAAAAATTCGATTTCCCCAGGGTGCACCCGGTACGTCTATAATTACACGCTTATTAACACACTCAATTAAAACATAATCAACGCATGTATGCGTTAAAGATAGGTGTCTCATACCTAACATAACGTACGGTTAGCTCATACCTAACCGTACCTCCCAAGCTATCGCATCCAGTCTTCAAGTGTATTCCACGCGCATAATAATAGCGCGAAAATTTCGCCATTCACACTTCGCGCCATATTGAAAATTTTAATAGACTGTCTGGTATTCTTAATACTTTGAATCTCTGACTTTGAATATTATAATACAACACACTTGATCAACTTGATCTTTAAAGGACATTGGCAACCAAAATTTTTATTACTTATATCTATTAGGTATACTTACGGAATATTTAATTTCATATTTTGGCCGGTTTGTCGCGTTTAGTTGCTGAGAAAATTTGATTGAATTTGAGAAAATTTGAACAGTTGTCCGCCATTTTGAAAATAAGCGCGTATGCTAATTTATGCCACAAAACAACATTATCTGACGTCATTGGCTGGGTAAACACAATCTCATGACTATAAACAATATCGTGTATTACCACCTGACTCGTCCCCAGTCGCTTCTGTACGCGCGCGTTGAATTACCCAACGCGCGCTGATTGATGGGAATGTGACGACAAAACGCCTCGGGGCATTCCCATGGTCCTTTGCGTTAGAAGCAGTGTTAGGGACTGTGGAAGAGTCAGTATTACCACGCGTAGTGCATTTTGAGCCAAAACAACAGGCAGAAAAGTTTTGCCAAGTATGTAACTTGTTTGTAACACTATTTCTCATAGTATATATCCTACTCCGTGTTAAATAAGCGCAGAAATTCGAGTGTAACAAGGCAAATACTAATGCAATATTTTATGATGAATTATCTGGCACCTGCATTGTAAATTGCGCCATTTCTTGCTTTCCCAGTCGCTCGATATGTTTTTATCTGATAGTGTAGACTTCTCTTGTTTGATTGCGAAGAGTGTTGGCCAGTATAACGCTCAAAACGACATATTTTTATTTTTAGCTAACATAACACGCACGCAATAGAATTCTCTCTTGTAGTTTTGGTGCTACCCAGCCAATGACGTCACAAAGTTCATTGACCTTCGAGATAATTTTTCAAAAATATTTTCCAAGATGGCGGCGAAACTGGCCGAAACACAAAGTTTGCATGCATTTTACTCGTAGACTAAAATGTTCAAGATGGAAATGATAATATTTTCATAGTTCGGTTGTCAAGTAGGATTGAAATAGCCAATAAAAATTTTCGTTGCCAATGTCCTTTAAAGTCGAAGGCAGACATTATTCGAATTATAATTGCAGAGCGTGTTTTAAGATTTGCATAATTTTGCATATATTTAAAATTTAATTCGAAGCACCAGGTGACGAACATGGCCGCACTCGCTTGGTAATTGACGAAGAAACACTGGAAATTTTAAAGTATTTCTTCCTTCATAAGAGCATGGATTCGTCGAAAAAGGAAAAGTTGCCCTTGATTAAAGAATGTGCAAATCGTGCGAAGCTATCAGAACATCAAGTTAAGGTATTATAAATATTATGTATTATGTATATAATTATTTTCTATGCGAGTTCATATTTTAAAATGAATATTTATATCATTTGACCTTTGATGTCTCCAATGCAGCAGTGAACATGCAGAATGGTGCTTCCATCATAAATCATAATGATGGGAATAAATCATAGGGAGTCTTCTCTCCCCTCTGCAGAGGCTTCAAATTAACATGAAATGGGAGAATATTAATATAATTTGAGATCAATAATGGGAGAATATTTGTAGAATCGGTATTAAGCCGGTTACAGACGAGCAAGTTTTCTGGCATCAAGGATTTTTAAGAATGGTTTAATAGTATGAATCTGAGGGTCAAATCAATAACAATACATGAGAATAATTTATTGTATTAAAAATCAATATAACAACACCTGAATACCAAAACATCTAATATAATAATAGACATACATTTATATAAATGTATGTGTTTTTACTGTTTTATATTAGATGTTTTGGTATTCATGTGTTTTTATTGAATTTAATTCTTTTCCAGCATTGGATAAATAACTACAAGTCCAAAATAAGTGGACGCATATCAGCAAGGAAAGCAAAAAGTAAGCTTATCAGAAAAAGGTCTGGGTTTAACATGTTTGCCAGAGAGAGTCTCCTTAAAGGTACTGTACATACATAAATAGTTGATGTAATTGATATAGTGAATATATTAGAACCATATTAACCAGCTGTATTGCAGCAAAATGTGCCTTATATTATTAATCCATTGAGCTATGAGCTGCAATGCACCTCAGTGCGCCTTACTTCTTTTCTTTACTTTCTATAGCCAGATGATTTTACTCGTCAATGGGGAAGTTCTGTAGCTTATTGGTTAACCCATTGAGTCGCATTGCACCCTGATGCACCCTACTTTAGTATTTTACTCTGTCTAACGCCAGACAATTTTACTCGAGAATCGAGAAAGGGAGAGCACTGGCGCTTAATCGGTTAAGCCACAAAACCTCAACCCACCTTAGCCCCAAAATTGGCTGCATTTTGTATTTTTCTCATAAAATGCATTTAAACAGATAATTTGTACATAATTATAAGCATTTATATTATTCTTTCAATCTTTAATTATTAAGTACATATAATGAGAAGTTTTTAAAATTAACTTTCATTTTGCTACATTTTGGATAGTTTCACTAAACATCTTCAGGCTATTTACAACTTTGTCCAACTATCTGAAGACAGGTAGTGAAACTACCCGAAACGCAGCAAAATTAAAGTTAATTTTAAAAAGTTTTCATGATATATCATTAATAATAATTAAAGATTGTATTGTTTATTTCTGGTCATTTTGCCACTCACATCACATGTGTATCATACAACAGTATAATGTACCAGTCTGGAGTATATGTGTTTATAGGGCATATGTGTTTATGAGTTGTTTTTTTGTTTTTGTTTGTATATATCTGCTAACCTTAGTATTTATTTATGATAATATAATATACACACAAGTTGGAGCTGCCTGTTAATTAAACAATACCAAAAAAATTTCAGACATGCTAACTGCTCATATTAAGTATGGTACAAGTGCATTGTCGGTCAGTATAAACTGCAGACTGCAGACCAGGTATAATGTGCAGAATGAGTATAAATTGCAAACCGAATACACAGACTTGGTATAAAATGCTGACTATAAATTATATATAATATTCTTAAGAAAATACAAAATAAAATTGTTTATCTTACACTTCCTGATTACATGAAAAATCTCAATACAGACAGTGTAACCCCAATCTGAAAATTGAATACCTGTAGATCATCGATTTACAAAACAACTTAAATAGATGCATGATGACGATCTATTTAGGGGAAACTAATGAATGCCTAATCCCCACTTCACCCCCTCCCTAACCCCTAATGAATGATAACGTATTGTCTATACTGGGGTTATGGAGGGGCTGGGGGTTAGGCATTCGTTAGTTTCCCCTAAATAGATCATCATCTATTTAAGCTCTTTTTGTAAATCGATGGTAATGATCTATTCAATACCGAGACTGGGGTGGCTCGGAACATAACGCTGTATGGGTTACATGAGTATGTAACAATAGAAATCTTACTTGACTATTAAAAAGTTTATACGACACTGTCTGTACATTGATATTTTTCATAAACAATTATCTTTTGCTTTTCCTGATGAATATTATATAAACTTTATAGTCTGCATTTTATACCAAGTCTGCATATTCGGTCTGCAATTTATACTCATTCTGTACATTATACCCGGTCTGCAGTTTATACCGACCGAATGCCTTGTATTTTTGGAAAAAATAAGTAAAATACAGCCAATATATACAGCCAATTTTGGGACTATGTTAGATAAGATTAATGTTAATCCATTACTGTATTAAAATATTTTAGTGGGAGACAGTGTTGCAACTCAATGTACATGTATTACACATTGTTATTTTACTCCAAACATTTTTTATTTTTAGAAAGCAGTGATTCTCGGTGTGATGCTTTCAAAAACTTAGGTCAGCAGTGGACGGAAATGACTGATGATGAAAAGCAACAATATAAGACAAGAGCCTTGCTCTGTGAGAAAGATGTGTCCTCATCATCAAATGATGTGAAGGCCAAAAAAAATTATAAATAATATGATGAAAGAGGTAAATAACACAAATTATGGTAATGAATTACAGAGAGATGTTTAATATACAATACATATAAGTATTGTGCATTTTTTACTATCTATCTATCTATCTATCTATCTATATGTATCTATATGTATGTATCTATCTGTGTATCTATATGTATCTATCTGTCTCTTTCTTAATCTTGAAATACAAGGTGCAAGAATTGGAAGCTTTAGGAGGACACTGTTTGTTAATCTGTGGGTATGGTGGCATTGTGTATCATGGTACAACAAAAGTTGGTAGTAAGATGTTGACCGGAGAAATTGATTTGGTTGATAATTTTTCTGACCTGCTCCAATGTATGTTTTTCATGCATTCATGTATTCTACTTATAGTACAGTACATGTACAACACCTGCACTTAAGTGTCCTTTCCTCAGTGTAACCTATTGAACTGCAGAGCTTGCCCATGAGTAGAACTGATTGTCTGGCATATTAGGTAGGTTAAAAATATAGTTAGGGCACACTGGGGTGCCTTGCAGCTTAGAGGCACAGTTCATGTCACCATCTGAGCAATGTGATATATACCGTACTGTATTATAGTTAATAGGGAGTTTAAGATGCCGACAACGAACAACGGGTACTGACTACGTTTGAAAGCTTGTTTTCGCATTGCTTTAACTGAGGCAGACAAAATTTACATATCCCCAGAGCATACTTTTCACCGTAGCGACCTTGGCTACAGCGTAAAAATCACATTCTTGTGTTGTAACAACATAGCACCGAAACTGACTACGCAACGTTGCAGGTTGGAGAGTATTTTTATAAGGAAATTATTAAAATTAAAAGATGAAACTTACTGAACACAAAACCATGCACATAAAACATATTTGGGATAAATTTGTTATGACAATTATTTAGTATTTGCATATATATAACAAAAACTATTTCAAACCTAGTCGGTAGTTCGTCGTCAAGATCTTAAATCCCTAATGAGTCATTATCAGCCACATATTTAGGTCAGTCCTTTAATCTTGTACAAATATGAAAAGGTTCACAAACTTTCAGATTTTTTTGTTAATAGATGCTTTTACACGTTGGCATGAATACTGGGATCTGTATGTGATTTCGGGATTCACTATAGACCCATTGCACTGACGTCACAAATCCTTAAAGTGTCCTCCAGATGCTCCCTAACAATATCTGTTCGGGTACTACAACCACATACAGCGCAAAAATTAACCATTTTAATACAAAATCATTATAAAGTTTTACAAAATTTGCTTTGTTCACAAAAGTTATAAGATTGCTAATTTGTCCGCCAGATGCATCGTCACCAGCGCTGTGACGTCATGTGCAATGGGTCTATAATCAAATTCGACATATACCTTCTTTTTATGGGTTTTGCATCCACAAGTCAAGCTATTGGGAACGAAGCATCCCAACAAATTGTGTAAAAGTTTTCTCTTTTTTTTAAGATTCCCACGTTGGAAAAGTGGACATTTCTGTTAAGTGTATTCAGGAACTGTTTAATATGAAATACGGTAAGTGTATAAAAGTATATGATCAAGGACGTCTGGATTGTTGCTTTCCGTTATGGCTGCAGTAACAATGGTCTGATTTGAATATGCATGAACAGAGTTAATGTTATAATGATTGTTTTTTTATTTTGTACAGGGGAACTTGTCAAACAGAAACACGCCAAAATGCCGTACTCGAAATTGAATGAGTATGGGATTACTTTCATGGGCCTTCCACCTCACTTAGAGATAGAAATAGGAATGACACCAAGAAAGCCTGCCTTGTATGGCTTATCGCAACGGCGTGAATTGTGGCTCCACAAAAAGAGTTGGTCCTTAGCAACTCATCCTACCTCTTCCAGTGTACCATCTTCATCTCGCGTCAATGCTGACTTTTCCACTTCAAACACCACGTGCCTTATTTCATCTAACTTTGTTGCCCCTTCTAGCCATTGTTCTTGCTCAAGTACTTCAACATCTTCCGTTTCTTCTAGTCCTTTTTCCTCTTCAAATACTTCCACTCCTGTTGTTTCTTCCAGTCTTCCTTCTTGTCTTAATTCCTCAACATCTTCCGCTTCTTCTAATCCTTTTTCTTCAAATACTTCCACTTCTGTTGTTTCTTCTAGTGTTCCTTCTTGTCTTAATACTTCAACATCTTCCGTTTCTTCTAGTCCTTTTTCTTCAAATACTTCCACTTCTGTTTCTTCCGGTCTTCCTTCTTGTCCTAATACCTCAACATCTTCCGTTTCTTCTAGTCTTTTTTCTTCTAGTCTTTCAAGAAGCTGACAAAGTGACGTCCAATTGAAGTATCAAACAAATAGTGCAGCGACAACCGCGATAATGCTTTGATAAATGCATGGATAATTAATTCTTACGATAATGCGTGGATAATTAATTCATTTTATCCGATCGGATTTGCACACCTCTATAATAAACCTATAAGGTGGCAATAGGATGATCGTGAAAGTGACCCCTATTTTAGAATTGAAATTACTACATGAAATTTTGTTCCAAGCTTACAATCAGTAAAACAAATGTAATTCTTGAATTTCGCACAAATTCATTGAAACTAACTTTGGTTTTGTATTTTGGGGTCCTTTTTGTTATAATAGGCTAGGGTACTATATATAGGGTGGCAATAGGATGATCGTGAAAGTGACCCCTATTTTAGAATTGAAATTACTACATAAAATTTTGTTCCAAGCTTACAATCAGTGAAACAAATGTAATTCTTGAATTTCGCACAAATTCATTGAAACTAACATTGGTTTTGTATTTCGGGGTCAGTTTTGTTATAATAGGGTACTATATATAGGGTGCCAATAGGATGATCGTGAAAGTGACCCCTATTTTAGAATTGAAATTACTACACGAAATTCCGTTTCATGCTTACAACCAGTGAAACAAATGTGATTCTTGAATTTCGCACAAATTCATTGAAACTAACATTGGTTTTGTATTTCGGGGTCAGTTTTGTTATAATAGGGTACTATATATAGGGTGCCAATAGGATGATCGTGAAAGTGACCCCTATTTTAGAATTGAAATTACTACACGAAATTCCGTTTCATGCTTACAACCAGTGAAACAAATGTGATTCTTGAATTTCGCACAAATTCATTGAAACTAACATTGGTTTTGTATTTCGGGGTCAGTTTTGTTATAATAGGGTACTATATATAGGGTGCCAATAGGATGATCGTGAAAGTGACCCCTATTTTAGAATTGAAATTACTACACGAAATTCCGTTTCATGCTTACAACCAGTGAAACAAATGTGATTCTTGAATTTCGCACAAATTCATTGAAACTAACATTGGTTTTGTATTTCGGGGTCAGTTTTGTTATAATAGGGTACTATATATAGGGTGCCAATAGGATGATCGTGAAAGTGACCCCTATTTTAGAATTGAAATTACTACACGAAATTCCGTTTCATGCTTACAACCAGTGAAACAAATGTGATTCTTGAATTTCGCACAAATTCATTGAAACTAACATTGGTTTTGTATTTCGGGGTCAGTTTTGTTATAATAGGGTACTATATATAGGGTGCCAATAGGATGATCGTGAAAGTAACCCCTATTTTAGAATTGAAATTACTACATGAAATTTCGTTTCATGCTTACTATACAATCAGTGAAACAAATGTAATTCTTGAATTTCGCACAAATTCATTGAAACTAACATTGGTTTTGTATTTTGGGGTCAATTTTGTTTTAATAGGGTACTATATATAGGGTGCCAATATGATGATCGTGAAAGTGACCCCTATTTTAGAATTGAAATTACTACATGAAATTTCGTTCCATGCTTACAATCAGTAAAACAAATGTAATTCTTGAATTTCGCACAAATTCATTGAAACTAACATTGGTTTTGTATTTTGGGGTCAGTTTTGTTATAATAGGGTACCTAATAGGGTTGCAATAGGATGATCGTGAAAGTGACCCCTATTTTTGTAATTCAAATTAGTACATGAAATTTCGTTCCATGCTTACAGTCAGTGAAACAAATGTAATTCTTGAATTTCACACAAATCGATTGAAACTTGGCCCTGTTTCAGTTCCTTCGTTTCCTTGTCACTTTGCTTGAAGGATGACAATTACCTGTACTTAATATACATCGTCTTACCGATTTGAAAGCACCAAGTACGCAAATGTACTATTTCTTCAAGATTAATGTATCCGAAAATGAAATTTTACTTAATTTGTTATTTCCATTTGCCAGAGATAATTGGCGATGGATTGAAAATTTTCGCACAATTTCTTTTCTGTTGTGAGATCGATTGTGATGCTCAACTAAGGTATACAACACTTTTTAATTAACTAAATTTCCTTAAAAAAGACGACCACTGTCCGGGATGGTTGAGTATTAATAGCATATTGTACAATCTTTTTAAAAGTTCAGGACCGGCCCATGCAAATAAGATGCGGGCGCTCTTACAAAAGTTATCGCAACACGAATGTTGTAGCTGTCATATTTTGCCTTTGCAGGTTATTTTATACATTTTTACCTAACACTACCTACTTTAAGTACGGTACTTTGATATAATTTTCAACTCTGACATGTCATGCTAGATAATTTTGATTATCGACTGTGGACTGTAGTACTTGCCCATATTTCACCTATTAACACCTAAGGAGCAATTTCTTCTTATGTTACATACTTTAAGTTCTTTGTAGGGGTGTGCAGGGTAGAGCAGTGGCGTGCTGGGTACTATTTTTCTGGAGGGGCCAGTGGGCTGTCAACCAATATGCGCCCCTATAATGTTACACTTGATAAACGAGGGCCGAAGGCACGAGCCGAGTGCCGCAGGTGCGAGGTTTGTCTAGGGGGGTCCGGGGGCATGCTCCCCAGGAAAATTTTTGAATTTAAAGTCTCTGAAATGCCATTTCCTGGACTTTGGGGGAAGATTTGACAGAAATCTGATGGTCAGGAAACGGCATTATAACGTGTCGAAATTTGCAATTCGGTTAGAATTTAGTAGCAGTACTTAAATTATGCAATGCTAACTACTTCCAGCGATTAATCTAATCCAAATTCTGTTCTCTACTGATCTACTGTTCTGAGTACATTTACAACTTAAAGCTCTTTTATACAATAACACAAGCAACCCACGCATATGCATTTTAAGGTTTCCTTGCCTGGCTGCCAAAAGGGCATGTTTCAGCATTATTTCATTGCTTACATTACTCATGCTTCTTGTGCAAACAACTAAATTGCGTACACAACTAAACATCAGTTATCATAACTTCAACTATCTAATTTGCGCCGCTCTCGTGATTCGTGAAGCATAATAAAGGGCATAATATAAGGGCATAATACCAGCAAAAAAGGGCATAATTCCTGTGATCGCATCGATCGAAACCTGACCAATATTCCGGTAATGAGACATTGCCTGTGATCACTGATCATGTTTCTATATGAACGATTTCGTGTGAGCTGTGAGGTAGCAAATACGGTTATAGGCAAAATAATCTGTAATTTAATATATATCGCCTATATGCGCTTAGTCTGTTTTATACTGTAGCCTATAAACATGTCTTTTCTTGGCGGAAGTAACCATATTTTTTCGAGAATGCGTTTTTTCCCACCCACTTTCAAAATTCGGCGCCCCATTTTCATTTTTGCGCCCCCCAAGAATTGCCAGCTGGGGGGGGCGTGGCCCCCCCCCCCCCCTGCCAGCACGCCACTGGGGTAGAGTCCTTTTTGCTCTCCAGCCAGATATGTTGGATATTTGAGGATATGTTGGATAGTTGAGGATATGTTGGATAGTTGAAAAATATCCCTGGAGGCAGATTCAGGGTATTATTCAAATATATAAGGTTCAGTCAGGCCTCATTTAAGGTTAATTTAAGTAATAATTTTAATTGGTTAAAAAGTGATGGTGTTTATAAAATTTTGATTTGAAATAATAGGAAAGAACTTCACAGTCTAACACTAGTAAACATGTATCATTGGTAGCAAAAGCCTCACTGTCTTGTATTAGTTCAAAGGTCAAATCTGCATTTACAAACAAACATATAAAATCTTGAAAATAGTGTTTACAAGCATTCCTGTTATCAATCATTGAATAAAAATATGATAACCACCCCTGCTTTTTTAACCTGATCAAATCATCTAACCTAATCAAATCTAACCTGCAGCAACTGTAAGTCTTGAAGGCCTGAAACTTATGTATATAATACCCAGTATTGAGTGGCCATGTAACAGAAAATGAAGTGAAATCTCAATATCTGGCCAGATGTGATATCCATTGCATCCCTAGTTATTTGTTATGTTTCTTTGTCTTGAAATGCCGAACGACTTTACTTGTTAAGGGGAGAGTGTTGGTATGACTGTACAGTATATTCGTATTCAACATACTTATTTAATATATGCACCATTTGTACCCTTTTATAGTTAACCCTCAGATGTATAATGGCTTCCTTTTCACATGCACTGGGAGACTGGCAGACCCACCAAAACAAGACTGGCAAGCAAGGATACCGGCTGACCCACCAAAACAAGACAGGCAAGCATGTAAGTTTACTTATATTTTTCTTTGTAATATAAGTTAACACATTGCATCCTGATACTCCCTGCTTTATTATTTTACTCTGTCTACTGCCAGACAATTTACTTGTCAAGGGGAGAGCTCTGGCATTTAATAGGTACCGGTACAGTAACTTAACTGGCCTTTCTGCCCATATGTCTAATAATCTAGTTAATCCATTCAGTTGCATTGTGCCAATGCGCCCTGCTTTAAGTATTATTTTACTCTGTCTAACGATTTAGTCGTATGACACGTAGACAGTGACTGACTGAAACAGTACAGGCTTGACTGCAGTCACTGACAAGAGGAAAATTCAGATCTTACAATGTATATTAATTTTACTGTATTATAAACCATATAATTTCTTTTATTATAGTCCATGCTGACAGCAAATGCCTTAACTGAGGTGGTAGGCCCAAGAATTTTTCGAAATTAACTAAGAATGCAAGAAAAAGATCAATGTGAACTGGAGAAGCAGGAGAACTGTTAAGAGAACACAAACATACAGTATTTGTTTTTAATATTTTAGTAATGATATTATATGCATTTCTTAATTTTAATCTTTGGACTTGTCCCTGCATGGTGTTACTGGTAACCCACCCCTGATTTTTTTATTTCTGCATGCTTTTAGCTGAGTAATCATATACAGGGTGTATCAAAAAATGTCCCAAATGGATAATTTCCTCGAAATCACACAAAATTTGGGATATTTTTTTGTAACCGAGAGTAAATA